ACGACGACCAGGCCGGACATCGCTTTCGCCTGCAGCAAGCTGGGAAGCGGCCTCACGGTGAGGAGCGACCAGCATTGGTGCGAGGTCGGCCGCTGTCTCGCCTACCTTGCCGACACCCGCGACACTGCCCTGGAGTTTGACGGTGGACCAGAATCGTTGGAGCTGATCGGCTACGTCGATGCCGAGGACGCGGGCGACAAGCAGAACCGGACAAGCACGGGAGGCTACGTGTTCGTCTACGGAGGGGCCGCAGTCTCCTGGTCGAGCTCGCGCATCAAGTGCGCGACATTGTCATCGACCGAGTCGGAGTACGTGGCGGCAACGGACGCCGGCAAGGAGGGGCGTCGACTTCACTTCCTCCTTGCGGAATTCAAGCTGCTCGACGCTGGGGAAGCCGACCATCCTCCACGTCGACAACAAGTCGGCAATCACTGTTGCTAAGGGCTTGGGGCTGACGGGCAACCTCAAGCACATGGAGCGACGCTACGCTTAGCTGCAGCACATGGTGAGGCGCGGGAAATTTGTGCTGAACTACATCCCGACCACCGAGCAGCCGGCGGACTTCCTGACGAAGGCGCTGCATTTTCCGGCTTTCAACCGGTGCTCTCTCGCCATCGGACAAGTTCGTCTGGTCGACGTCGGCGACGGCGACGACGAATTGCAGCAGTAGGTGTCGTGCCCTTCTGCACGGCTGGTGCGGTGACGGCGTGTTGTGTGAGGGGTGCACGCCGAGGACGAGTTCTCTCCGTGGAGTACTGCCGTGAGGGCTGGAGGCCCAAGCGTGAGCGCGGCAGGGGAGTGTTAACGGGAATGGAGTGTTGGCCCCGCCCTCGCTTGGGCAACGCCGACAACTTGGTCGGATGTACGGGAGTAGCAGCCGACCGCTCACAGTGGGATAGCTGCTCGACAGGTTACGACGAGCTGCAGCGGACCGCTGTGGTGTTGCTGTCGACCAGGATGCTCGACAGCTGCAACTGACCTGGCCTGGGCGACGGGTGAGCCGTCCGGGAGGTCGACGAAGCAGTCCGTCGACCTACAGTTTGACGGGGAAGTCTATGGAGCATCCCGTCGAACTGCAACTCGACCGGGGAGGTCTATGGAGCATCCCGTCGAGCTGCAGCTCGACCGGGAGGTCAACGGAGCATCCCGACGAACTACAGTTCGACCGGGAGGTCGACGGAGCAATTCTGGTCGACGGAAGGGGTCCGTCGACCAAGGGGTAGCTTAACGGGAGGTGTGGTCGACCAAGAGCGCCCGGTGGTCGACCAGATGGACCCAGTGGTCGACGGGAGGCACCTGGGAGTCGACCAGAGCACCAGGGGTCGACCAGGTCGACCCGGGTAACCTGCTCGACGAGTTCTGCGGAGGCACGCGAACGTCGTCGAGATCGAGATGGCGCAGGCGACTTCGGGCTGGTATCCCGAAGTCGATGTGGCTCGTCAGGCGCAGACAACAGCTGACGGATGCCCAACGAGGCAAGTCGGGCCAATCGTCTGCGCACACCTGCGAGCGCGCGCACTGCTGTGTTCTACAGGGCACGCCGTCGACCTGCTTTGTTGGCAGGTCGCCCTTCTGCAATGCTGGCGCGGCTCCTCTACGCAATGCTGGCAGGGCGGTCGACCGAGCTGCGTTGGCGGTCGACCAGGCTAGCTGCAGGGTTGCTAGGTGCCTGATGTAGTCATTGTTGTCATTGCTTCTTGGATCATTTCTGGAATTCCAAATTTGCTAGTGAAAACTCTTGCCAAATTTTTCCGTGAATGTGCTAACACTAAGGAACCAAGCAAAGCTAAGAACACCTCTAGTAGTTCGTGCCAACCCCTGTAGTCTAGCTCACTACCGTTGTAGAGTTTATCTCCTCATGGGCCTGGTCCTCGGACCAAATGGAAACGTATGGGCCTGGTCCTCGGACCAAGTGCAAACGTATGGGCCTGGTCCTCGGACCAAGTGCAAACGTATAGGCCTGGTCCTCGGACCAAGTATAATCGTATGGGCCTGGTCCTCGGACCAAGTCGAAACGTATGGGCCTGGTCCTCAGACCAAGTGCAAAGGTATGGGCCTGGTCCTCGAACCAAGTGCAAACATATATGCCTGGTCCTCGGACCAAGTGCAAACGTATGGGCCTGGTACTCGGACCAATTGCAAACGTACGGGCCTGGTCCTCGGACCAAGTGCAAACGTATGGGCCTGGTCCTCGGACCAAGTGCAAACGTATAGGCCTGGTCCTCGGACTCGGACCAAGTATAAACGTATGGGCCAGGTCATCGGACCAAGTGCAAACGTATGGGCCTGATCCTCGGACCAATTGCAAACGTATGGACCTGGTCCTCGGACCAAGTGCAACGTATGGGCCTGGTCCTCGGACCAAGTGCAAACGTATAGGCCTGGTCCTCGGACCAAGTACAATCGTATGGGCCTGGTCCTCAGACCAAGTCGAAACGTATGGGCCTGGTCCTCGGACCAAGTGCGAAGGTATGGGCCTGGTCCTCGGACCAAGTGCAAACATGTATGCCTGGTCCTCGGACCAAGTGCAAACGTATGGGCCTGGTCCTCGGACGAAGTGCAAACGTATGGGCCTGGTCCTCCGACCAAGTGCAAACGTATCGGCCTTGTCCTAGGACCAAGTGCAAACGTATGGGCCTGGTCTTCGGACCAAGTGCAAACGTATGGGCCTGGTCCTCTGACCAAGTGGCAAACGTATATGCCTGGTCCTCGGACCAAGTGCAAACGTATGGGCCTGGTCCTCGGACCAAATGGAAACGTATGGGCCTGGTCCTCAGACCAAGTGCAAACCGTATGGGCCTGGTCCTCGGACCAAGTGCAAACGTATAGGCCTGGTCCTCGGACCAAGTACAATCGTATGGGCCTGGTCCTCGGACCAAGTCGAAATGTATGGGCCTGGTCCTCGGACCAAGTGCGAAGGTATGGGCCTGGTCCTCGGACCAAGTGCAAACATATATGCCTGGTCCTCGGACCAAGTGCAAACGTATGGGCCTGGTCCCTCGGACCAATTGCAAACGTATGGGCCCTGGTCCTCGGACCAAGTGCAAACGTATGGGCCCGGTCCTCGGACCAAGTGCAAACGTATAGGCCTGGTCCTCGGACTCGGACCAAGTATAAACGTATGGGCCAGGTCATCGGACCAAGTGCAAACGTATGGGCCTGGTCCTCGGACCAATTGCAAACGTATGGGCCTGGTCCTCGGACCAAGTGCAAACGTATGAGCCTGGTCCTCGGACCAAGTGCAAACGTATAGGCCTGGTCCTCGGACCAAGTACAATCGTATGGGCCTGGTCCTCGGACCAAGTCGAAACGTATGGCTTGGTCCTCGGACCAAGTGCGAAGGTATGGGCCTGGTCCTCGGACCAAGTGCAAACATATATGCCTGGTCCTCGGACCAAGTGCAAACGTATGGGCCTGGTCCTCGGACCAAGTGCAAACGTATGGGCCTTGTCCTAGGACCAAGTGCAAACGTATGGGCCTGGTCCTCGGACCAAGTGCAAACGTATGGGCCTTGTCCTAGGACCAAGTGCAAACGTATGGGCCAGGTCATCGGACCAAGTGCAAACGTATGGGCCTGGTCCTCGGACCAAATGGAAACGTATGGGCCTGGTCCTCGGACCAAGTACAAACGTCCATGCAAGCCTGCAGATCCGTGCACGCATGCAGATCCCGTGCACGCATGCAGATCCGTGCACGCCTGCAGATCCGTGCACGCATGCAGATCCGTGCACGCCTGCAGATTTGATGGACCAATGAATTTGAAACTCTTAAAGCTGCGGCCTACATACTTCGAGTGGGAGGGCTGAGATTATCACTTGAAAAACAGGGTGACTAGTTTTTGGACTCGGCCCCCTTTCTGCAAAGCTAACGGTTGAGAGGGATGGAGAGAGGAGGTTGGGGTTCTTTCCGCACGATACCAAACTCCCCAGGTTGTTTCCCGCCCTTCCGCAGAGCCTCCTCCAAACCACCTGTCAGCACGAAACTGGGCTGGATTCGCTTCTCCTGTCTGAGTTCGCCTGCTGCGGTGTTTCTGAAACATGCTGACTTCGTTCTCCAATCAGAACGCACGAAAGGGTGGGCATAAAAAATACACTCAAGAAACACCACTTGGTATGTAGACCGCAGCTTTAAGCACGCATGTGCATTCTCATTCTCCACGATAGGTTTGAATGTGCATCTCGTAGTGTGATAAGAAACTCACCGATCTGCAGCGCAGATCGCGCTGCTGCATCGGAGTCGTCCATCTTTGATCTCGCAGTCCTCTTGCAGAAAGTTGGTTAAAAACTCCTACTAAGTCGTCTCCGATTGGCGGAATGCGACGGATCCGTGTGTTACTGCGTGTGCTATGGTCTTCGAAAATTTGTTGAAAGGAAGCATGACCCTTGGAAAAGAGGAGAATCTGAGAAAGCCGGCTTACTCTCGCGTGGTATGCTAACTTTGAGACGAGAATGCTGAGAATGTGTTGTGTGCTGTGGCGTGGTGCAAGCTTGCTTGCGAGTTGGCATGCTAGTTCCAAGGGAGGTCCACATCGTAAATCGATGCGAACCAATCAAGTTGAGTCTAATAAGAGAGAGCTAATCCGGAGAGGGGAGCGCGCGTTGAGCTGGCGTTCTGGTGTGAGGATGAGCCAGGATGGACTTAAAACCGCCGCGATCCGATTAGTTTCTCACACCGCTCTTCTCGTCCCTCTCTCACGCTCTCATTCAGCGCGAAATCACAGACAAGGCGCGGGCGAGGGACGGACAGACGAGGCAAAAGTCAAGATACGGAAAGCAAGATCTTCGCAACTGTAATTTGCTGTGCGCGCGGTGCGCGCGAAAGTGCGCGTGGAGGAGCGCGCGCGCTGCCCTTCGCTGCGACGAAGGGCGCACGGTCGTCAGGTGAGGTGGACGAGGAGGAGGGACGGGCACGGTGGGGAGGGGGAAGGTGGTGAGGGGAAGGTGGGGAGGGGGAAGGTGGGGAGGCGAAGGTCGCGGCGCTGCCCTTCCCCGCGACGAACGATGCGCCGGTGCCCAGGTGAGGTGGACGAGGGGGGGTGCGGGGAGGGGAGGGTGAGGTGGGGAGGGGGGAGGTGGTGGGTGGAGGGCGCAGTGGGGAGGGGGAGGTGGTGGGGGGAGGGCGCAGTGGGGAGAAGGGAAGGTGGGAGGGGAGGGCGCAGTGGGGAAGGTGGAGGGTCGGGGAGCGGAGGGCGCAGTGAGGACGGGGGAGGGTGGGGAAGGGAAGGCGCAGTGGGGAAGGGGAAGATCGCGCGCTGCCCGTTGCCGCGTCAGACGTGGGTGCATGTTTGCCCTCGCTCCCACATCTCTCCGCTTTTCCGCTTCTCGCCCCCACATCACTCCCTCTTCTCCTTCCCGCGAAACCCCTCCCCACCTCTCCGTCACCTTCCCCCCTTCCCCTCCACCACACCTCTCTGCCCGCCTCTCTCGTGCCCACTTCCCCAAGCCTGCCTCCCCCTCCATCCGTCCTACCCGCCACCCTTCACCTCCCTCTCCCCCATTGCCCAACCCCTTCTGGGCCTGGCCATAACGGCAGCTGCCGCGCGCACCTCGGGGAGAGAGAGGGGGCCAAGCTGAGGTGCTGCGCGGAGATAGAAGCCACAGCGGGCAGCGCTGCCAGTGGTGGCGTGGGGAGGGTGAAGGGGTGGAGGCCGCGGGGGAGCAGCAGTGCTGTGTGCGGCGAGACGGGGTCGGGAAAACAATCAGTATCAAGAAGTTCCGCAGGTGCTGTGGTGTGGGGGAAAGGGCAGGTGTGCGTGGTGTGGGGGAAAGGGCAGGTGTGCGTGGTGTGGGGGAAAGGGCAGGTGCGTGTGGTGTGGGGGAAAGGGCAGGTGTGCGTGGGTGTGGGGAAGGGGCCAGGTGAGGTGCGGTGGGGTGGGAGAGGTACATGGAGGCCAGCCCTGCCAGCCTTGTGTGCGGCGAGACGGGGTCGGGCAAGTCCATGCAAGTGCCACTGAGACACTTGGCATGGTGTTACCGTATCATCATGCCATGAGATTTTTAACATGCAGATTTACATGCGTTGGAACTGTAATTCATGCAATTCATCATGCCATGTTTTCATCCATGCATTCATCAAGCCTCATGTGCTGCAGCTCACAGCAATTGTTTCACATTATATACATGAGCAGTTAGCGTATCCTTTTATGTCATTTTCATTCAATTTAGCATGACTCAATATGACATCCAACGCTTCGCCCCTTCCCTCCTTCTCCTCACCTTCTTCCCTTCCCCCCCCCCCACCCCCCCCCCCCCCCTTTTCCCCCCAATCAGGTGCTTGGGACTGTTTCAGCACTCACGGGCCTCGAGCTTTGGGAGCTTGACAAAAGGCTCGCTAAGCTGAAGAGACCGGGCTGGACAAGGGTTGGCTTGTCATCATACAGCTAACCTGTTGCTCAAATACTGCTGGTACTGGTTGCTCAACTAACCTGAATCTGTTTCCCGTGCATGATCTCTCGCTTGCTGTCATTCTCGGGCCATCTCAAGCCCCGGCCACATTTTGAGGCGCCTCAAAAGTCATCTCAAGCCCCGGCCACATTTTGAGGCGCCTCAAAAGTCATCTCAAGCCCCGGCCACATTTTGAGGCGCCTCAAAAGTCATCTCAAGCCCCGGCCACATTTTGAGGCGCCTCAAACGTCATCTCAAGCCCCGGCCACATTTTGAGGCGCCTCAAACGTCATCTCAAGCCCCGGCCACATTTTGAGGCGCCTCAAACGTCATCTCAAGCCCCGGCCACATTTTGAGGCGCCTCAAACGTCATCTCAAGCCCCGGCCACATTTTGAGGCGCCTCAAACGTCATCTCAAGCCCCGGCCACATTTTGAGGCGCCTCAAACGTCATCTCAAGCCCCGGCCACATTTTGAGGCGCCTCAAACGTCATCTCAAGCCCCGGCCACATTTTGAGGCGCCTCAAACGTCATCTCAAGCCCCGGCCACATTTTGAGGCGCCTCAAACGTCATCTCAAGCCCCGGCCACATTTTGAGGCGCCTCAAACGTCATCTCAAGCCCGGCCACATTTTGAGGCGCCTCAAACGTCATCTCAAGCCCCGGCCACATTTTGAGGCGCCTCAAACGTCATCTCAAGCCCCGGCCACATTTTGAGGCGCCTCAAACGTCATCTCAAGCCCGGCCACATTTTGAGGCGCCTCAACGTCATCTCAAGCCCGGCCACATTTTGAGGCGCCTCAAACGTCATCTCAAGCCCCGGCCACATTTTGAGGCGCCTCAAACGTCATCTCAAGCCCCGCCACATTTTGAGGCGCCTCAAACGTCATCTCAAGCCCGGCCACATTTTGAGGCGCCTCAAACGTCATCTCAAGCCCCGGCCACATTTGAGGCGCCTCAAACGTCATCTCAAGCCCCGGCCACATTTTGAGGCGCCTCAAACGTCATCTCAAGCCCGGCCACATTTTGAGGCGCCTCAAACGTCATCTCAAGCCCGGCCACATTTGAGGCGCCTCAAAAGTCATCTCAAGCCCGATAGGATGCAATAGGCATGTCGCGCTCCGTTCACATGCGACGGATGCAATAGGCATGCCGCGCTCCGTTCACATGCGACGGATGCAATAGGCATGCCGCGCTCCGTTCACATGCGACGGATGCAATAGGCATGCCGCGCTCCGTTCACATGCGACGGATGCAATAGGCATGCCGCGCTCCGTTCACATGCGACGGATGCAATAGGCATGCCGCGCTCCGTTCACATGCGACGGATGCAATAGGCATGCCGCGCTCCGTTCACATGCGACGGATGCAATAGGCATGCCGCGCTCCGTTCACATGCGACGGATGCAATAGGCATGCCGCGCTCCGTTCACATGCGACGGATGCAATAGGCATGCCGCGCTCCGTTCACATGCGACGGATGCAATAGGCATGCCGCGCTCCGTTCACATGCGACGGATGCAATAGGCATGCCGCGCTCCGTTCACATGCGACGGATGCAATAGGCATGCCGCGCTCCGTTCACATGCGACGGATGCAATAGGCATGCCGCGCTCCGTTCACATGCGACGGATGCAATAGGCATGCCGCGCTCCGTTCACATGCGACGGATGCAATAGGCATGCCGCGCTCCGTTCACATGCGACGGATGCATAGGCATGCCGCGCTCCGTTCACAACTCCAACAGTCGTGGCAGCTGCCCTGCCGCTTCTGGTCAATTGCAGTGGTGTCAACCAAATGCTCTGTGATATGGTACCTTCCCAGATAAGGTCATGTGCACACAACACAGGTGGTTGGCAGGCAACGCAATAGCTATGGCCATTAGCTTTGGAGGATTAGCTGGACATGTGTATTCCTTAGCTACAACTGTACGCGCTGCAAAGTCACACTTGGAGTATGTTAGTCAGCTGAGCCAACTCGTACGGCACCGGTACCGTAGCCTGAACTTGTTGCAGTGACGCACCTCTCTTTGACTCTGGTACATTTTGATCATCTAAGAATGCTTCCAGCATTCCAGTCCAAGGTTCTCACACTTGCTACAGACAAATTATGACTTGAACAATACGGTATATTCAGCTAAACACTGCCTGTTCTCCATCAAGCAAAACCAAGTGGTGCGTGTCCCCTGTGTTTCTATGACCCTCTTGTCACCCCTATTGGGCCGTTATTATGACCTGCTGCCAGTATCACCCTTCGCAGTGTGAGGCTGAGGTGGTATGCACAGCACAGGTGTGAAGCGATTGAAAGGAGGTGTAACGCAATTGAGGGGGCGTGGGGCATCGAGCTAGACCAGCCAGTTTTGGTGCTCCCTTGTCACCACGGCCCTGATCTGGACCGTTGAAGTGCCCCGCTGCCAGCAGCACCCTTCACAGTGTGAGGCTGAGATGGTGTGCGTAGGTGTGAAGCGGTTGAAAGGAGGTGTGAGGCGGTTGAGAGGGTTGTGTGATGCGGTTGAGTGGGGGTGTAACGCAGTTGAGTGGGGTGTGATGCGGTTGAGAGGGTTTGTGGCGCATCGAGAGAGACCAGCCAGTTCGGGTGGTTCCCTCGTCACCAGGCCCTGACCCGAACCGTTGCAGTGCCTTGATGTCGGCACCTCCCTTCACAGTGTGAGGCTGAGACAGTGTGTCCAGGTTTGAAGCGGTTAAGGGGGGGTGTTATGTGGTTGAGAGGGGGTGTCGCGCATCCAGCGAGACCAGGCAGCAAGGGTGGTCACCATGGCCCAGACCTGGACCGTTGCGGTGCCTTGCTGCCAGCACCACCCTTCCCACCTGCTGCTGCTGCTGCTGCTGCTGCTGCTGCTGCTGCTGCTGCTGCTGCTGCTGCTGCTGCTGCTGCTGCTGCTGCACCTGGCAAAGGAGTGTGAGGGTGAGATGTTGTGTGCAGGTGTGAAGCGGTTGAGAGGGGGTTTGCCGGGAAATTGGACGGTCCGGCTGGTGGTGGTAGGAGACTGAGTGGCGTGCCTGCTGCCGCCGCTGCTGCTGCTGCTGCTGCTGCTGCCGTTGCTGGCACTGCTGTTTGTGGTGCTGCAGATAGAGAAGTAGGCATGGCTGCTGGCTGCAGCGTTTGGGGAAATTGAGGGGAGCAAGACAGGTCCGAAGGGGAAAGAGGCGAGAAAACAAAAAAGATGGAGACAAGAAAAGAAGTAATATCGATGGTCGACGGGGATACGAATCAAATCAAATCGAATGTGATGATGGGAACGAGAACTTGCCAGAAGCTGCGCTGCTGAGTGACAGCGACAGTAATGTCAACGTGATCGCACTCGCTCGAGCTGAGAAGGGGTGCGCACACCGTGCTTCGTTCACTCAATGCGCAATGTGCACTCACCATGCTAGGGTGCGCGTGGGTGTGGGACTGCAGCAGCAGCTGCTGAGCAATCACTGCATATTTCTTGACTCACCATTTGCGTGTGTGACTGTGACTGCAGCTGCAGCAGCTGGGAGCGCAGCTGTTCGTTCTCTTCCTTCAACTGTGCCACCTCCGCCTCTAACTCTACTGTATACGCCTGAGGTGGGGAGGGGGAGGGCATGGGAAGAGGATTATGTGGTTAAGCTCCTGGGCACCCTTCAGGCTCCACTGTGTACGCCTGAGGGGGGGGGGGGGGGAGAGGAGAGGGGAAGGGCTGGGTGCGCAGCTGCTCGTTCTTTTCCTTCAGCTGCGCCACTTCTGCCTCCAGCTCCACTGTATACGCCTGGAGGGTTGGAAAGTGGGGGCATGGGAAGAGGATCATGTGGCTAGGCTTCCGGGCACCTTCACATTCAGGCTCCACTGCGTATGCCTGAGGTGGGGTTAAGGAGAGGGGAAGGGGGGCGCGCAGCTGCGCCACCTCCGCCCCCGGCTCTACAGTGTACGCCTTAGGGGGAAAGGGCAGGGGGGTGTGTGGCATGGGAAGGGCAGCACGTGGTTAGACTTGAACGTGTGTATGCCTGGGTTGGGGAGAGAGGGGTGCACCAGAGGGGGGGGCGGAGCACAGGAAGCGGTGCAGCATGGTGCCGTTGGTGCAGCTGGTGCAGCTTGGTGCAGCTTGGTGCAGCATGGTGTGAGGAGAGAGAGCACGAGCCATGTGCACGCA